AAAAAAAAAAAAAAAAAAAAAAGGACCATTCCACAGACCTTCCACAAATATGCACTAATACAAAACCTTCTAAAAAACATTCCTCTCATTGTTGCTTCTTTCACTCCTCATTCCGCTCCGGTCCATAGACTACCCCTGCAAGCAGCATCTCCTCCAAATTTTCAACGTCTTGCGAATTGTGCTTCGCTGTCCAATATGTCAACGCCGATTGTCACTACTTCTGTCGTTGTTCATGCTTCACGGACCGCTATGGGTAGTCAGTTTTCTATCATTTGTGTTATTCCCGCTCTTACGTCATCAAGAGACCATCTGCATGTCCATACAGGACCCTTGGGACAACCAAGTTCTTCTGATTTTAAAATTACCATACATGACTCTCTCGCATCTATTGATCCAAAAAGATACATGCGCACATGTCTTGTCTTGACAGTTCTCATATGATGAAAGATATTGTGCAAGTAGCAAAGGAATTTAATACGAGCGTGAACACTTGGAGGGGTTTGGCTTGGTTTGCCAAACAAGTCCATTTCTGCCTGCTGATTTCGTACCCTGGAGCCGGAAGGTACCTCCGAGGGGGGTTTTGGCCTGGTTTCATGCTCTGAGGCTTGTCCCAGTTACCTTGGTGAACACGCCGCTCTTCGCTGTTTTTTATGAGTTTGGGGCCCTAATTTGGACGGTTGATGGGATCCGTTCCGCTGATTGATCCCTGTGTCACATCGTTTGAGTCCCTGGTCAGGTTTTCGCGTACGGTTCATGTAACCTGCCGTTGGCACTGTGGACGTTGCTTTGCTGGGCCTTCTCGGCTCACGCAGGTGTTCTTCCGTCGCCAGCTTCAGAGTATGTACTCCGCTTCGCTGCTCGACTATCCCCTCTTACTTTTCGTTCGCGATCATGCGGACGGTTAAAGCGCTGTCGTTGTCAATGGCGCCGCTCGGCTATGGTGACAGAGCCTGGCCCGTCAGGGGTGATATATTCTTCTGTCTCGGCAAGCGGGTGGCTTAGCTGATTCGGTTGCTGCTTCCTCCAGCACGGCGGAAAGAGAAGAGGGAGGGAGTCTTTTTCGACCTTTGTGGTTTTGTTTGTGGTTTTGCTTGTGTTGTTCGTCTGTGTGTTCTTCACTTGTGCAGGTACACCTACCTGATCGAGGGACCACGTCGCCGCCTTTTGACTCGGATCGGTGACGTTTTTTTGGGACTCTAAGGACGACATGGCTCTTCTCCGTTCGTACATGTTCTCGTCGGCCGACGCGCTCCACGGATCCGTCGGCCCTCACGTGGACTGTACTTTTGTGGGGGATCGATGGGGTTGGGAGATTGATTCTCTGAAGAATGATGCCCGTCGTTCGATGAATTGGCGAAGGGTAGGGGTTGGGTAGGGTAGGTAGTGATGGGGCAAGGCATACGGAAAGGCCCCATGGACAAGCAATGTCTTGATCTTGTATTCTTCTCCCCCTGATGAGTCCACTGGCGGGGTTGGACGAAACGCGTCGGGGATCTACCGCGTTTTTTTAGGACTTTTGTTTGTTCGAGCTTTTGAAGACTTCGAGGTCTTTTAATGCATATATATGCGTGTGTGATGGAGCGTGTTGTTCAATTGCGTATCTTTGCTCTTTGTCCTCATGCGTCCGCTGTCTGTGCCGGGCAGCTTGTTTTCTTCTACTATTCTACTTGGAGGTGTGTGGATGTTGCGATTCATCTCGATTACAATCGGCAAGGACAGGGGCGATTCGGAACTTTTGAGGAGTATCGTCGCAAAGTATTGCAATGAGTTTCGGTTCGTGAGGTGCTTGCAAGAGTTCCGTTCCAACGAAGAAAGTTGATTGGTCTTATAAGAGAGATAGGAAGCGAAAGAGATAAATCCTGAGATGTTGATTGAGCGGTAGCTAGATTAGGCCTTGCCTTGATGACAAATTTTGATATGGTCGTCTTCGATTTCGGTTAAGTAATTGCCCTTACAAGAGAGATGGGACAAAAGAGATACGTAAATGAATAGAGAGAAAAAAAAACAAAAACAAATATGACTTAAAGCAGTAGTACCTTTGTCGGTTCGAAAATATTCAGCCTCCGAACTTTCAGGAGGCCGAAACGAAACGACGGTCGCCGATCAGATTGATCAACGTCGGGCTCGGCCTCCGGAAAGTTCGGGAGCTGGCAAGTACTTGTCGAAACCGGACGCCAAAGGTACTAGTGGTAATGTTATTGTGTTTTTTAAGTCAAGGTGGATTCCACTACGTAATAATTGTGCCTTCATCATACTGTGCCCATTTGCTGACTATAATGGAACGTAACATCTTCATATTAAACTTTTTTTCTTTGTATACTCATGTTGCTCTTTCTTTATTCTTTACTCTTTTCCTTCTTTTTTTTATGAATTTTCAATCTGTTATTTTTTTAATTCATCAATTAAGCTTAGACTTCGGAGTCAGTTTTAGGCTTTTTTTTTATTACTATTTGATTCTTTTTTTTTTTGGTTTTTATAGTCTGTCTGAGTTTATGCGAGTGATCCATATGAGGTTACCTACAACATTTGTTATTGATGTGGGCATAGCCCGCACCGACCGCACTTAGCTAGTTGCATGTTAACGGAGAAGTGTTGAAACATTTCACTGCTCAGCCTGTCACTGAAACATCGAGTCAACTACATCCTTCCCCCGAATACAACATACAATCATTATAGCTCTATTTGGTGTATCTTTGAATCTAAATACAAGTATAATGACCGTACATTGTATTCGGGGGAAGAAGGTAGTGTGACTTCTGTTTGTCTTTACTACCATCTTTCCCCAAATAGAACGCAAAGATACAAGGTACATAGGAATCGTTGCAACTATCATGCAAGCAACCATTCAGCGTACGTAGGGCAACCATTGAACGTAAAACATAAAATAAAAAATGTATGCTCATTGTGGCTGGATCTAGATTATAGACTGAATGTTGCGCTGAATACAGTTGTAGTAACCGTGTGTTCTATTATGGGGAAGATGGTAGTAGCCTAGTTCACTTTATCGGGTGTTCGTGCATGGTCATTGACTCTTTTTTTTTTTTTTGGTACATTCATGGTGATCGACTAATGAGATCATGAAATGAAAATGTGTGGGATTTTGGGTCCAGGTTTACCATTTCTTGTTGGGGCCAAGTCCCACTAGCAGGGTTGAGTTTCCTCAACGTCTGAATCTGGATGTGTTTGTGGAGATGTGCGGTTGAGGTTACTCAACGCCATTTCTCCACATGTCCTCAATCACGTCCAGATTCAGGCGTTGGGGAAACTCGCCGCTGCTAGTGGGACTTGGCCCCTGCTATGCTAGGCTGCTCTTAAAAAAAAAAAACAGAAAAAAGGAGAATTTGAGGCTACCAGAGTGGCCTGGGACCACTTGCCTCGCCTGGCCAAAAAATAAAATAATAATAATAATAATAAAATATTTTCTATTTTGAATTTGGTAAAGAATTTCGATGTGTTCCTGAGGCAGAAGTTGTTCAGTTTGTTTTTCTGCATAACATTTTTATTTATTTATTTATTTATTTATTTATTTATTTATTTATTTATTGTTGCTGGGACCTTCTCTGGCCCTTGCACGGCCGGGCCACCTGGGATAACAGGGTGACCCGGGTGGCCCGGCTGGCAGCCTATTATTTCTCAACTTCTGTGTGTCATCCTTGTGAAGGGACCATGATAATCTCGTCTGTATCATTCCCATTTTAACGGAGACTCATTTCACTGAGAAATTAGAACGTAATAATAATGTATGTACCTGTGCACAGGACTCAGAGAGAAGAGGCAAAGAAGAAATTAGAGAGAGATTCGAGCAGAATCTAGCACTGCTTCGCTTCAAGGAGGCCTGGGAGGACACCGTCTTCCTCAAATCGGCACAGGCAAGGATTAACAACCAAACAACCCCCCCCCGCTCCTTCCTCCCCTCCCCTCCCCTCCCCTCCCCTTCCTTCCCCTCCCCTCTAGATGACCGAACAATTTGTAATCTACTGAGATCTGTGAATGGCTTCGTAATCCAATTCCTCCATATCCTTATGCGTATAGCACGATTTGAACCTTAGACCATTTGAAGTCCGTGAGACAAATAATAACCTTGTATATAATGAATGTCATGCCATACATTTCAAAATACGACTTTGTTACGTAATGTGGCAAAATGACAGAAGGACTCCCTGGCGACTTCGTATCATGCACCACATAATGATTGACATCCACTGCACAATATAAACTTATCGCGCAAGCAACACCACAATCCTCCGGGCCTTCTTCTGTTAGGGCCTTACGCGCAATTTGTGACACGAAAGAAATTTCACGCGAAACATTGTGCTGCGCAGCAGTGCCTGGTGAAAGAAAAAGGCACCACACCCAGGCACCACACCCACAATACGTGACGCAAACCGTGCAAATTTGCAAAAACAATTGTGCCACACAGCATGAAAACAACTGCACCCTGTCTGGGCTCACGTGAGAGGGAAGACCCAATTTAAGGGAAAAAAAAGCAAAAAACGTGCCTGCCAGCACAAGCCACACACACACACACACACACACACACACAACCTCCTGATGAGTCGGTGAAAGTCCGACGAAACAGTCTCTCTGGCACAGGCATGCTTTTCTTGAGTGCATACACTGCATAGCGAATATGACAACACACACACACACACACACACACACACACACACACACAGAGCGAGCGAGCGAGAGAGACAGAGAGAGAGAGAGAGAGAGAGAGAGAGAGAGAGAGAGAGAGAGAGAGAGAGAGAGAGAGAGAGAGAG